ATATATATATATATATATATATATATATATATATTAAGGTATATGTGTGTGTGTGTGTGTCATCTTACATTACATACAGTTGACTGTTGACAAACCTCAAGCAGGGCAACAACTCACTGTGTGATGTAGTCCATAACTGCAGTTATGTGCCCCTAAAATTCAATATATTGTGGCAAAAAAATGCCCCTGTATGAGTTTTTGTCTCAGATTTATATCTATGATAAGTGATATCACACGAGCAGTGTGACGAATCGACAAGTCACTATGGAAACGGACGCTAAGAAAAAGCAAGGCATACTACTTCTTTCTTCTTCTTCTGCTCACAGGCCATTTGCATACTTAGTGCATATCGACATTTTAGGTTGTGCAATCATTTTTCATTTCTTTTTTCGTTTAATCTTTAATCCTTGAGAATAAGAATAATATTGTTAGTTTGATGCTAATTATATAATAAGTCATAACAGATATGTATTTTTATTATAGAAATATGTGACCCAGGACCACAAAACCAGTCATAAGGGTAAATTTTTCGAAATTGAGATTTATATATCATCTGAAAGCTGAAAATAAATAAGCTTTCCATTGATGTATGGTTTGTTAGGATAGGACAATATTTGGGCGAGATACAACTATTTGAAAATCTGGAATCTGAGGGTGCAAAAAAAAATCTAAATATTGAGAAAATCGCCTTTAAAGTTGTCCAAATGAAGTTCTTAGCCACATGCGGCGGCACTTTCTTTTTGTAGTATCGCCATTCTACCACTAGATTCTCTGTGTAAGCATGCTCAGAGTTGTGCTTACATTTACACACATTCCTACGTAACAAGTACAAGTTGGTAGATCCCACACTTTGCGTGAAACTGTTCTTACGTACTCATTACGCACACAGCGTACGCACTGTTGATAAATGAGGGCCCGGGTCTTTCCCATTTTCCCCAAAAAAATTCCAGCTTTATTTTCAGCATTTCCATGACTGTGGGAACCCAGTGATAATAATACTAGTGATAATAGGACTACAGTATTGGTTTTTTTTGTGTTTGTTTGTTTATTTTGATACTTTTACGTTTATTTGTCCCTGGGAAGTGGCACGTTCTGCACAGGATTTCTAAATTGTCTAAAATAATCATGTGTTGGTTGTTTGCGCTGTGCCGATTGATCATTGAATGACATCAAAGTATCCCCGGGAAGTGGCACGTCTGGTCACCTTAATATATATATATATATATATATATATATATATATATTAAGGTATATGTGTGTGTGTGTGTGTCATCTTACATTACATACAGTTGACTGTTGACAAACCTCAAGCAGGGCAACAACTCACTGTGTGATGTAGTCCATAACTGCAGTTATGTGCCCCTAAAATTCAATATATTGTGGCAAAAAAATGCCCCTGTATGAGTTTTGAAATTTACAAAATATCTTCATGGAACATGATCTTAATATCCTAATGAAACCTACTCCGAAACAGGTTATGTTCAGAGAATAAGTTAATATGGCTACTTACACACCCTAAAATTTACCTCCGTTTTTGGAACCGAAAGCTGAGTTTATCCGCTTACCCTTAAACATACCTGGGTTTGTCACATAACCTGCTTCTGGAATACCCCCTGAACTGTTGTGCATCTCCGAGCAAGCTGCGTTTCGTTTCTGAATGAATGCACGTTTTGAACGAATTGTGTGAATCAATGATTCAATGGCCCATTCATAAAGAGAGCCATTTACTTGATTCTTGAATAAATCAGCAGTTTGAACGAATCAAATGAATGAATGACTCAATGACTTTCTCATAAAGACATTTACTGCCACCTGCTGGCAATTTTAGTTTTTTATTTAGAGTATCAGTTCACTTAAAAATAAAAATAATAAAAATAATAAAGTGATAGTTCACCCAAAAATAAAAATTCTGTCATCATTTACTCACCCTCATGTCGCTTCAAACCTGTATCACTTGCTTTCTTTTATGGAACATAAAAGAAAATAATGAAGAATGTTGGTAAGCAGAAGAAAAAGAATGTTGGTAACCAAGCTAATTTGGTTACCAATGACTTTCACTGTATGAACAAAATACTGAGATGTTTCTCAAATAATCTTCTTTTATGCTCCATAGTTTGTTATTATGCCATTGTAGCCTAAACGTTTATGTGCAAAAATATATATATATGTTGAATCAAATAAAATATTTCTTTCTAAAGTTACTTTTTGTAATATCTACTTGATATTTTTTTATCATTTAACACAATAATGGTTTTAAAATATATTTTGGGGTTATTTTCACAGCCAAATTTAATTTGGGATTAATTAGATTAACTAACTGCCACATCCTTTTGAATCGACTGACAGCCATAATATATATTAGAGCCCGACCGATATGGGTTTTTTGGGGCCGATACCGATACCGATATTTGGGAGTAAAAAAAAAAGGCCGATATCGATATATCTGCCGATATTCTTTGTGTATATTATAGTACAGTATCAGTCAAAAGTTTGGACACTTTCCCATTCGTGTGTTCAAACATTTGACTGGTACTATATATAGAATACAGTATATACATAAACAGAATATATATGCATAAACACATTTTTTGCAATGATCACTCATATGTGGTGATCAAACACTTATGTAGATATGTAATGATGGAGGCAGGGCATTTAACAATTTAACAATAAACTTCAAAATGAGTCTGACATCAGTGCACTAAACAGTAAAGTTGAAGTTTATTCAACTTTAATTCAATTCAAATCCATTCAACTTTATTCCGTTGAAGTTTATTTCACTT